TGAACAAGGATGGAATTGAGAAGATACTGAAAACCATGATGCCTACTGCGAAGGAAGTCGAAGAAATCCAGGAAAAGCAGCTTCAAAATCCTGATATGCAGTTGGTGAGTTCACGGGCTTAGTTTAAAGTGATTTTAAAGAGGTTCTCAAAGAGAACTACTAGATAGGGTGGTATTTTCATCGCTAAACTTTTTTGGCCTTTTTCATGGAATCGTGTAGCCTCTGCTTCTCCAGTTCTCAGTGCTGATACTTCTTTGTTTTTTCAGGGAGTTCCTGAGCAATTCGTGTTGATGCTGTCGAAAATCCCCTGCCTGCTGGAACGTCTCAAATTGTGGATTTTCACGTTAGACTACAAGACAATGGAAAAGGTTTGATTTTCATAATTTTGTGGCCCCTTTACTATGTACTACCAGTAACAGGGCTTGACGTTATCAAAGAGATGCACGAAGCAGAAGTCGCTCCTGAAGTACCGTATTTTTCTTGTCTAATTTGAAGATTTCGATATCATTTGTTCCTTGACCAACAACCAAAAGTAGTGCAGGGTTTTTTGTAGGTCGCTGTTGCCCTCCCTCGCCCCCAATGGTTTATTTTTGCAGGCACACTCCCTTTAACAAAGCGGAAGCTCATTTTTCTTCACTCATTTTCTTCAACGAAATTTTGTTCTCTTGAAAGTCATCTGAATTTCAAGGACATCGCTGAACCTTTGATGGATTTGCAATTGGCAATGAAAGAAATGGAAGAGTCGAAGACGTTCCGGAAAGCTATGAGCATCTTCCTCGCCATTGGCAATTCGTTGAGTGGTACAGAGGTACGACGAACTTAATCATCTGTTTTTTTGCCATGGATTTAAAGCTATTTAGATAATTCGTAGGTTCAAATTATCCTATGTAATTAATAGTTACTAGTTTCAGATCAAAGGCTTCCAATTGGATTACTTGGCAAAAGCATCGGAAGTGAAAGATCCCGTCTACAAACATACACTGACATATCATTTGGCCGAGTACATGC